AGGTGGCAGCCAGGGCAACTGTGTAAAGGAAATATGAGTTCTGATTTTCAATTTTCTTCTCTTTCCCTCCCTTCTGTGGTCTCTTTCTCCATGGGGAATGCTTTGCACCTGGCCATACTGTCCTGCTCCTGACAGAGTCAAAGAGTACTCTTGTGCACTATCCTGTGGTTAAAAGTATATGTTTGCACCAGATGACTACCTTCTTGTCTTCCTTGAAGGAAAGCTATCCTTCAAAATACCCCTCTGTCTTTATTTACTGGGAGACCCTGTAGAAATGCAGTCCCATCCATGATTGTAAGCCGTGCTGAGCCATTGGCAGAAGCAAGGTCAAGATCGAACCAGGGAAGGAAGGCAACATCCTCAGTATATGCTCTGAGGGAGCATGGTGTGTCAGGATGCTTGTACCTTTATGTAGACCCTCAGTATGGGGGGGCTGAGTCGGGGAGAATGTAGAGATGGTAGGTCATGACTTCTTTGCATTTAATGTTTTGCTTGTGGAAGAATTTTAGGTGGAAGTGCCATGAATGGAAAACTGGTGTATAGTATGTTTTGAGGGTGATGAAAACTTTTATGTTTGAAGGAAATCCTTCCATTCCATGTGGCTGCTGTGTTGCAGTCACACTGTGGATTTCTTCTGCATCCATATTTGCTTAGATAAACATCTCCTGCCAACCTAAAAGCTCCCTTCATCTTCCTGAATGAGGAATTTGTCCTGGGCCTCTGTGATTAGCGAGTTGCCAGTCTTTGATGGAGTCCAAACTGAACTGGGGAAGGAGTTTTGTCCAGCCTTTGCAATGAGGACCTAGCTGGGGTGTCAGAGGAGTGCAGCTGGTGCCCCAAGCTGGGATGTCATTCCTCTTGGGAACATTCAGCCCCTGTCTTGCCCCAGGAAATGCAGTGCAGAGCATTGAATCCTTCCCTTGGCATGCATCCCTGGGGAGATCCTGACATCTGCTGCTCTCCAGAGTGTCCTTGCTGGCACTGCCAGCCCTCATTTGCTTCTGCGGAGGGTTGCATGTTGCATGGAAATGTTGCTGGGTGTTTGGAACGGTGTGTGCTGTCCTGTCAGTATGTAGGGCCAAAGCAGAAGTTGAGGTATGGACATGGGGAATGGAAGAAGGAAGAGTTTTTAAACCTGAAGATGTTCTTGTTAGGGAGTGGTTTCGCAAGCTAACAGCAGTGGCTAACTAATATTTACTTGTGGGAAAGCAACATCACTCTTTCCGAAACATTCTTCTTCTGGTGATTGGGGAACTGCAGGCAATGCTGAAAGAGGTGAGACGGCAAACCAGGCAGGCTAATTTGTTCTAAGGGCAATGCGAGATACCAAAGAAAATTCAAAAACCCAACAGCATAGTCTCCGTGATGAAAAAATGATGCCTAAGAAAGCTTAAAAGGCCTTGCAGGCACAGAGAGCAATGAATTTGGTTAGACCCCACATAAAGAAAGCCTGCCCTTTAATCCTAGGTTTATAATGAACCTTCCCTCCCCCGCATTCATTACAACAAAGGCTAAAAGCATGCCTCAGGAGGGTAAGATGCTGACATCACCTGACAATATGGCACCACTCCACCCAGTTGGCTGAAACATCTGCCTGATTTTTGTTGTAAATTCCCCTGGAAACATTTTGGCTTCTAATCCTGTCATTTGAAAGGAGCCTGTGTGGCTGAATGGGCATGTCATGAACGGGGAAATGAAAAGGCAGCGTTGCAGGGAACATAAGCAACCACCCCATTTACTTAAGTGAGATGCTTAGCATAAAATATGAGCTTATTGGTAAACACATTACATGCGCAGAAGGTGCCTCTGGGCCTGGGGCGGTCTGGACCGGTATAAAAGCCAGTCCAACAGCAGGCTTCCTCATCCACTTCTCTTGCCTTCTCCTCCTCGGTGAACAAGGTGAGCTGCAACCACCTTTGCCTCACTCCCCTCTTTCTCTTGTTCTCCTCTTTGTCTTCTGGGCTCAACTGAGACTTTGCCTCGGTGTAGCTTTTGCTGAGAGCCTTGCTCCTGGATCCTGCTCCCAGCATCTCTGTTCTCCTTATTCTCCACTGTGGGGAGGTGGAAGAAGGTCTTGGGCTCTCTTTGCAGGGAAACTGTGCGTCCGGGGTTCCTAATCCTCTCTTCCTCCCTCCTCGGGTTGTCCCTTCTCCGCAGCCTGTGCCTTTTCCCTTGCCGAGCAGGCTGTTCAGGCTGCACCTCACATGATGCCTGAGCTCTCCCTGCCCTCTCTCCCAGGTGCACCTCCGTCCCACAGCCATGTCCTGCTACGACCTGTGCCGCCCCTGTGGCCCAACCCCGCTTGCCAACAGCTGCAACGAGCCCTGCGTCAGGCAGTGCCAGGACTCCCGGGTGGTGATCCAGCCCTCTCCCGTGGTGGTGACCCTGCCTGGACCTATCCTCAGCTCCTTCCCCCAGAACACCGCTGTGGGATCCACCACCTCCGCTGCTGTTGGCAGCATCCTGAGTGAGGAGGGAGTGCCCATCTCCTCCGGGGGCTTTGGCCTCTCTGGCCTTGGCGGCCGCTACTGTGGCAGAAGGTGCCTGCCCTGCTAAAGGCAGGCTGGATGTCCAGTGAGCGCATTGACCAGGAAGCCCAAAGCCAGGTGCCGGACTGAGGACGGAACTGCTGGCCAGGGTTTCCAGATGGGTTGAGCACCCTCGTGCCCTCCTGCAATGAGGGAGGGAAGGAAGCAAGGTGCCAGCCTGTGGTGTCTGGAAACACGGCCAACCGATGTTGTCTTCTTCTCCTCCTGCTTTCTTCTCCGCATCCTGAGTCCCTGTTGTCTCCTGCTGTGCTGTGCCATGGGTTCGTCCTGAAGCAATCCGAGAGGGGCCCTGCTCATCACCCTCTCCCCCCACGTGTGTGGGAGGAGGACGCGTGTCCCATTGCTGTGAAGGGGTGCCTGACTCTCCGCTGCCCTGGTAGCAGCGTGGAGCGGGTCCCTTCCAGCACGCACTGCTTTGTTTCACTCTTTAGACTCATTAAAGTTTATGCTGCATGGTAGCTTGAGTCTCCTCGTGTTCCTTCCCTCCTGGGATGCCCAGCCAAGCTGTCCAGGGGGAAAAGGGATGCGCTGGAGGGGAAAATGGTGGGTGGGTAAGGGCCAATGGTGGACCTCTCTTGCGCCTGTAGGAGCTGAGTACCCTCGAGGGCTGTGGTCATTGGAAGGAGACATGGGGCGGTGGAGGGGTGCGTGGTATTGTCTGAGTATGCAAAGGGTGGCCAGGAGCTCCCCCAAGGGACGTGTGAGCAACAAGTGTGGTTGGATACTGGCTTCCACTTGATGAGGGAAGCCATTGACCTGATGGAAGACATTTCTGTGCAGGCTAACACCCGCCTGGCCAAGGCTCTGGTCGCATGTTACCACTCGCAATGTGTCCTTGCCCTTCCCTCCTCCAAGCCCTTCTTCCAAACCCTGGAACTGGAGGGAGTCCCAAAGGAGTTGAAGGGACAGGTGGCAGCCAGGGCAACTGTGTAAAGGGAGATGTGAGCCCTCTGCTAGATTTTGGCACAATGGGGATGGGTTGAGCATGGGTGTGTAAAATGGGTAGGGGAGGGGGATGGACACACAGGGATCGCCCTCCCTCATGTGGAAGTGATGGGTAGCGTGGGTGACATGTCCTGGAAACTCTGCAGAGGTCTAGAAGGGAGCAGGAAAAGCATCTTTGCCCCAGCTGGAGCAGTCTTGTGGTCAAAAGCATTAGGTGTTGTGGAGTCCTTCTGTGTGTGTCACTGTGTCCTGAAGGGCAGTGAGTCTGGAGCAGACGTGCTGCAAATCCTCCAGAAACCCCACTCAGCTGCTGTGCAGGCTGTGCCTGTAGAGGTCCCAAGCAGCGATCCTTTTGTCCCTCCAACCAGGCCTCAAGCTGGGGAGACTGAGGGAGTGGTAGCCCGCCGGCTCTGTTCTCAGTCCCTCCTTCCCACTCCCTTGTCCTCCACAGGCAACACTTTGGTCCTGCTGCTCTGGTGGTGCTTCAGGTAGAGTAGGAGGCACCTCTTGTGCCGTGCTCCTCCGACTGTCCTGACAAAGACTCGTGGACCCTGCTTGGTGCTGAGCAGGGTTGGGTGTCCTGTGGAGGTCCTGCCAAGTACTTGGTCATGCCTGCTGTGCCAGCAGTCTGGATGGCCAGAGCAGAAGTTGTGGCAAAGACTCAGGCAGGAAGAAGGCAGTGTATCGATTGGCCAGCACGTTCCTTGGTCACAGGGGTGCCTCGAACTTTACCAGAGGTCTCCAGTAAAGAGTGTTGGGCGGGAAATAGCCTTCATTCTTAACCACTGGTACTGTGCTGCTTAAGGCAGCTAAGGATGAAGGAGAGAAGGAAGATGGCAAAAGAGCCAAGCAAACTTCTGCCGAGAGCAAAGCTCAATCTCAGAGAGAGAGACTAAAACCCAAGAGCAGAGGTACCCTGCCTAGAAAGGCGATGCCTAAAACGGTGTGGGTGAGCACAGCATGAGGGAGAGCGATTGACGGTGCCGACCCTTGCATGTGGATGTCCAGGCTGAAGGCGCAGGGTTATGCGGAGACCTGCCCCATTTATCAGGAAACACTTTAAAGTGAGGCCCTGGAGGGCAAGGGGATGGCATCACCCGGCGAGGTGGGACACTTCTCATCACTGGCTGCACCATCTGCCTGTGCTGACGTGTCATTTCCCCTGGAAACATTTTGGCCTCTAATCCTGTCACTTGAAAGGAGCCTGTGTGGCTGAATGGGCATGTCATGAACAGGGAAATGAAAAGGCAGCGTTGCAGGGTATAAAAAAACCCCCCAATTTCTGTAATTGTGATGCTTTGCATGCAAGATGAGCTTGTTGGTAAACACATGACATGCGCAAAGGGTGCCTCTGGGCCCGGGGCAGTCTGGACCAGTATAAAAGCCAGTCCAACAGCAGGCTTCCTCATCCACTTCTCTTGCCTTCTCCTCCTCGGTGAACAAGGTGAGCTGCAACCACCTTTGCCTCACTCCCCTCTTTCTCTTGTTCTCCTCTTTGTCTTATGGCCTCGATATAGCTTATGCTGAGCGCCTTGCTCTTTGGTTGCGTTCCTGTCTCTGGCCTCCTTGCCAGCACCATGAGAGGTGGGAGAGTGTCTTGTGCTATCTTTGCAGGGCCCCCTTCTGGACTAAAGAAAGAAAGAAAGAAAGAAAGAAAGAAAGAAAGAAAGAAAGAAAGAAAGAAAGAAAGAAAGAAAGAAAGAAAGAAAGAAAGAAAGAAAGAAAGAAAGAAAGAAAGAAAGAAAGAAAGAAAGAAAGAAAGAAAGAAAGAAAGAAAGAAAGAAAGAAAGAAAGAAAGAAAGAAAGAAAGAAAGAAAGAAAGAAAGAAAGAAAGAAAGAAAGAAAGAAAGAAAGAAAGAAAGAAAGAAAGAAAGAAAGAAAGAAAGAAAGAAAGAAAGAAAGAAAGAAAGAAAGAAAGAAAGAAAGAAAGAAAGAAAGAAAGAAAGAAAGAAAGAAAGAAAGAAAGAAAGAAAGAAAGAAAGAAAGAAAGAAAGAAAGAAAGAAAGAAAGAAAGAAAGAAAGAAAGAAAGAAAGAAAGAAAGAAAGAAAGAAAGAAAGAAAGAAAGAAAGAAAGAAAGAAAGAAAGAAAGAAAGAAAGAAAGAAAGAAAGAAAGAAAGAAAGAAAGAAAGAAAGAAAGAAAGAAAGAAAGAAAGAAAGAAAGAAAGAAAGAAAGAAAGAAAGAAAGAAAGAAAGAAAGAAAGAAAGAAAGAAAGAAAGAAAGAAAGAAAGAAAGAAAGAAAGAAAGAAAGAAAGAAAGAAAGAAAGAAAGAAAGAAAGAAAGAAAGAAAGAAAGAAAGAAAGAAAGAAAGAAAGAAAGAAAGAAAGAAAGAAAGAAAGAAAGAAAGAAAGAAAGAAAGAAAGAAAGAAAGAAAGAAAGAAAGAAAGAAAGAAAGAAAGAAAGAAAGAAAGAAAGAAAGAAAGAAAGAAAGAAAGAAAGAAAGAAAGAAAGAAAGAAAGAAAGAAAGAAAGAAAGAAAGAAAGAAAGAAAGAAAGAAAGAAAGAAAGAAAGAAAGAAAGAAAGAAAGAAAGAAAGAAAGAAAGAAAGAAAGAAAGAAAGAAAGAAAGAAAGAAAGAAAGAAAGAAAGAAAGAAAGAAAGAAAGAAAGAAAGAAAGAAAGAAAGAAAGAAAGAAAGAAAGAAAGAAAGAAAGAAAGAAAGAAAGAAAGAAAGAAAGAAAGAAAGAAAGAAAGAAAGAAAGAAAGAAAGAAAGAAAGAAAGAAAGAAAGAAAGAAAGAAAGAAAGAAAGAAAGAAAGAAAGAAAGAAAGAAAGAAAGAAAGAAAGAAAGAAAGAAAGAAAGAAAGAAAGAAAGAAAGAAAGAAAGAAAGAAAGAAAGAAAGAAAGAAAGAAAGAAAGAAAGAAAGAAAGAAAGAAAGAAAGAAAGAAAGAAAGAAAGAAAGAAAGAAAGAAAGAAAGAAAGAAAGAAAGAAAGAAAGAAAGAAAGAAAGAAAGAAAGAAAGAAAGAAAGAAAGAAAGAAAGAAAGAAAGAAAGAAAGAAAGAAAGAAAGAAAGAAAGAAAGAAAGAAAGAAAGAAAGAAAGAAAGAAAGAAACCCTCCAGGGTGCAGCCATTGCATCTTCCTGCCTTTCTGCCCCAAACTGCAAGACCACCAGCATCAGGGAGGGAAGTAACCTTGCTCGCGTGTGAAGTTGTCATGCAGTTGGTGATGTCGGAGAGGACAAGCTGCCTGTCCTTTCCTCCCACATGCTCTTGGCCTCCACAGGTGATGTTTTGCCCCCTGCACCCCAGTCCTGCTTCAGGTAGAGTGAGGGGCACCTCCTGTGCTGTCCCATACGCTGTGGGAACCCCCACCACGCCTTTCCCCATAGCCAAAGCCCTGTCTTCCCTGAAAGACAGCTGCTGTCAGCAACCCCCCCGTGCCCTGCTGGGCGGGAAGGCCCTCAGGAAATGCACTCTCCATCAACATTCATGAGCCATGCTGAGCTGACAGCAGAAGCACGGTGGGGTGACAATATCGTACCAGGGAGGGAAGGCAGCATCTGCAGCTCGTGCAGGCTGCGGCAGGGCATTGGAGCCTTTGGGCAGAGCCTCGCCTTAGGCGCTGGCTGTGGGAGTATCAAGGTCTGGTAGGAGACTCAACCTGTGGATTTTCTGGGGCAGGGATGTGATTGAAAGGACCCTTAGAAGAAAAGACAGATTTTGCACTGGTAAAATGAATGTAAGCTTCCTTTCTTGAAGGAAGAAGTCCTTCCCCCCGTTGTTGAGAGAGATGGAGCTGGTGTCCTGTGTCCCAGGTGCACAGGAGATCTCCTCTTCTTGCACAGCAGTGGCCTGAGTGCAGTAACAACAGGCCCAATGGCCCTGATGAGCCTCACCTGGGGTCTCCCACGCCTCCCTCTTCCCTTTGACCCAGGGCTCTATTAAAGCTCTGTCCTGAGCCTTTAGACCATTCTTCAGCTTGGTGGCAGGAGCGTAAGCCTCCTGTTCTTTTGCAGATTTGCTTATGCCTGACCATGAGCCCCCTTGACCTAGACCCTAAGTTGCCCACTGATTTCTCAGCCTCTCCTTGGGTCTGTCTGGTCATTACGGCCCTGGTCAGCAATCAGTGGGCTCTGTTGACCCAGGTTACCATTGCTGGATCTGCTCCTGACCTGTGGGCTGACTGCCCTGCTTGATGTCAATCTTGTTTCATCACCATGAACTTGATGGTTGAGTTGGGCTCTGGGCTGCACCTGTCTCCCGTGTCTGCATTTTCCCTACTCAGGTACTGTGCATTGCGATCATTCTTCTTTTACTTCTGTCTCATTTCCCCTGGAAACATTTTGGCCTCTAATATTACCACTTGAAAGGAGCCTGTGTGGCTGAATGGGCATGTCATGAACAGGGAAATGAAAAGGCAGCGTTGCAGGGAACATAAGCAGTGTCTTCATTTCTGTAATTGTGATGCTTTGCATGCAAGATGAGCTTGTTGGTAAACACATGACATGCGCAAAGGGTGCCTCTGGGCCCGGGGCAGTCTGGACCAGTATAAAAGCCAGTCCAACAGCAGGCTTCCTCATCCACTTCTCTTGCCTTCTCCTCCTCGGTGAACAAGGTGAGCTGTAAGCGCAACCGCCTTTGCCTCACTCCCCTCTTTCTCTTGTTCTCCTCTTTGTCTTCTGGGCTCAACTGAGACTTGGCCTCTCTATCTTTTGCTGAGTGCCTTGCTCCCTGATCCTGCTCTCATTGTCTCTCTTCTCCTTGTTCACCACTGTGGAGAGGTGGGAGAAGGTCTTATCTGTCTTTGCAGGGCCCCCTTGGGGACCGGGGCTTCTAATCCTCTCTTCCTCCTCAGGTTGTCCCTTCTCCACAGCCTGTGCCTTTTCCCTTGCCGAGCAGGCTGTTCAGGCTGCACCTCACATGATGCCTGAGCTCTCCCTGCCCTCTCTCCCAGGTGCACCTCCGTCCCACAGCCATGTCCTGCTACGACCTGTGCCGCCCCTGTGGCCCAACCCCGCTTGCCAACAGCTGCAACGAGCCCTGCGTCAGGCAGTGCCAGGACTCCCGGGTGGTGATCCAGCCCTCTCCCGTGGTGGTGACCCTGCCTGGACCCATCCTCAGCTCCTTCCCCCAGAACACTGCTGTGGGTTCCTCAGCATCTGCTGCTGTTGGCAGCATCCTGAGTGCTGAGGGAGTGCCCATCTCCTCCGGGGGCTTTGGCCTCTCTGGCCTTGGTGGCCGCTACTGCGGCAGAAGGTGCCTGCCCTGCTAAAGGCAGGCTGGATGTCCAGTGAGCGCATTGACCAGGAAGCCCAAAGCCAGGTGCCGGACTGAGGACGGAACTGCTGGCCAGGGTTTCCAGATGGGTTGAGCACCCTCGTGCCCTCCTGCAAAGGAGGGAGGGAAGTAAGGTGCTGTCTGGACACATGGTCAAATATGTCTTATTCTTGAAATTCCTCCTTTTGATGACTTTCCTTGCATCTGTGATTTTGAATTTCACATTGTCTTGGTATAATGCTGTACTCTTTAAATGATCAGTGGAGGGGTTTTATTCAGGAATTAAGTAAAAGCAGAGTCTTGCTTGCTGTTTTTCAGTTGGAATGGTTTAAATGGCTTCTTTCCCTTATATAAATATATATATTTCTTTTGTTTTTCAGAATAGTACTTGACTTTTTATCATTAAACTGTTGGTGCATCTGAATTTGAGTTTCATTGTGGTTTTCTTCTCTTTTTTTTTTTTTTTTATCCCCTTGGGGAGGAATGTGTCATTATATGGAAAATCTTTGCAGAGTACCTTTTCAGTGGAAAATGTGAATTGAATAGTCACCACAATCAACCTCAAAAATAATTTCATTGTTGTTTACACTCTTGTGAAGCACTGAACAGGTTTACAGATATATTTCTCTGGCTAGTTTTTTCCAATAATTTTTCCACATCTGTGTGTAAAAGTACAATTGTGGTATTTCAGGTTGGGAACTTTCTGATCTTATCGCTTATTTGGCATCTCTTGCAAGTCTGAGAACTTGGAAGTGCATAATAAGATTTTCAGAAGCAGTATTTGGGTCTCTATTTTTGGTTAGATTGAATACTACCAGACTCTGATGCTTTAACCATCACACGCTTTGAGTGATCTTGACTCAAGGCTTCAAAGATGAAGTGAGTGTTCAAATCTCATAAGAGTAATAAGACTCTTTATATGATTGTATCATTAATACATTTTTATGATGGGCTTTGTCTCTCTTGCAAGCCTTAAGTAAAAGCTAATAAACTTTATTCCTTAGCTAATCCACACAAACACTCTCATAATATAGAGGAAAACTTACGTGAGTGAAGAACTAGACGTAGGTTTTTCACTTAAGAACAGTTTGGTTTTAATCCTGTTACTCACCATGTAGGAATTTTCTCAAAGATGTTAAAACTCAGCACATTGTGTGCAACTAAGAGACATTAAAGAATAATAAAGACTACCCTTTTCTGTAGGTACATAAGCTTTGAGAAATTTATCCAAGTTTTTAACTGTATTGACTCTTTGCTCTCCCACTGGAGCTATGTGGGGTCCGGCAGGACATAGCACAGGAAAGCAGTAAGAATGAGAGTTGTGTAATTTCTGATGACTCTATACCTCGTGCAAGGTTTTCTCTTTTAGAGCCCACTCAAATCTATTTGGAAATTATAGTATCATAGTGCTGAGATAGAAATAGTGGAGGAACAAGAGGGAAGATGCCTGGCATTCAGGTTCAGTGCTGGAACTAGTCTAAATGCCCACACAGTAGGGGAAAAGAGGTAGGCTTATTTTTTTTCAAATGTTTTACACTTACGTTCTAAGTTTTCTTTACTTAAGAATTACTTACTTGCAAAGCTACCAAATTAAGGGAAAAAAGTAGTTTAGAGATAAGATGGGATATGTCCCCTTTTAGGCTGTACCTTGAGGCAGCAAAAGCGAAGTATGAAAGATGGTAAATCAATAAGTATTAGACTGAGTGGAGTCTCTGCGTAAAAATTGGTTTCCATGAATGTATTTTCTAAACAAATAATTGAAGGGACTGGAATGCACACACAAGCATATGGTGCCCTGTTGACAGAACTGGTAGGACTGAAGTAATTAGTTATTCACTCAGATCTGTGAGGAATCACTGATTGCACTCTGATGTACATCAAAGAATGGCTTCGTTCTTGGTGGCAGGAAGGAGTCTTTCTATGATGTAAATGGGCATGCAGCATAAAGAGTACAGAAATGAATTTCAGGAGAATGAAATGTCTGGTTAAGTGGTCTGTGTCCAACAACAGCATGTCCTGAAAGGTACATTTGTGGTGCTTGTTGTGAATGAAAAAGCTTGGAGAAGTGCTCTCTGCCATAAGCCCCTAAGTCTATACTTGCCGATTTAAAAGAAAAAAGAAAGCAGTGTCCTGGAACTAGCCATCTTCAGACAGCATGGCATCATGGAGTGTTTGTGCAGGATGTCGAAGCTTTTATTAAATGTGTCATTAGCGAGACAGTTTCTGAAGAATGTGAACATCAATTTGAAAGCCATGTCCCCTTTGTATGTTAAGATTGGAGAAATGGGTACAATAACTATGCATATGGATGTTTACAAATTTATGAGACTATTGAGGCATCCTTTTTTGCATGAATTAGTTCCCACATATGTTTTTGCAGGTGGAACCTTTTCTTGATAATGACATTGTTTTGCTTTATTTTCCAGTCTAGGTTCACCCTGGCATTGCATGAGAAGCATACTCTACCCATTAAAAATTCTTTCATCTTCACAATTCCTGGGTTCTCTTAATTTCTGGTACTCTTTTTACTGACTCTATTAGTGTCAATATGAAATTACTCCAGGCCCAGTCTAATAAAGACTTTTTTTCAGCTCCTCAGCAATTTGTTAGCTTGCAGATGTCTCGGGAGCACAATCTAAGATCGCATTCAAGACATTTACTAGAGCTCTTTGTGTGCAATTCCCTGCCTGACCCACTTAAGACCAGTTGCCAGTTAACTTGTTCAGGAATGTGTCAAAAAAATCTCCAAGGAGATCTCCAAGGAGAGCTTCAACCCTCTTGGGTAAGTTCTTTGAGCCAATTAGACCAATCTGGAGTTGAGCCATGATCAGGAGACAGTTCAGGAGTCTTTTTGAAAATACTGCAGTGATCTCTGATGAGTTTGTTTTTAAAATATGAGGTAGTATACCAAATAGAAGCGCTTGTAAATAGAAGGAAGCAGAACAGAAGTGTTGAAAACTTCTGTGGATATTGTTACAAGTTTTACAGGAAAATTAATTCTCCAGGTTGCCAGTAAGCACCTGATGATACAGAAGAATTTGTATTTCAAAAATGTACATGTTTACGTGTTTATGGGTTGGTAGCATTGTGTAGGTCTGGAAAGGAAGGGAAATATTTAAGAGCGTAGGTGGGTCTCTTTAGCTAATGTTATTGAAATATGAAAAGCAGTTTAAAAATTTGTAAAAGGTTGATTTTTTTTTTTCTCTTTAAAGAATTGTTCAAGGTTGGTTTTCATAGGGTCTGTTGAAATATGAATAGCTTCACTTTGTAAAGGTATAAACCTATGTGTGGGCTTACAGATGGCAAAGAATGATTTTGGTTCAGAGGCTTTAAGACATCCCATTGGGTGGATGATGAGGGTCTTAACCTCATCAACTATCATGAACAGTTTGATAACTTAATTCTGTGAATATGCACATTGTTAATGAAAATTGTGAAGGATTTCAAAACCCTTCTTCTTTAGGAAGCTAAGACCAAGAACTTTCATTTCCCAGATGTCTATGAATCCTCATGCACATTATTTAATAACTTTTCTCCAGGAGATGTTCAAACCCTGTAGCTTGTACAGGAGAGATTGCAAAGTAAAGTTCAAAAACATATTAAATTTTGTAAATATATTCCACTTACACAATGAACTTCCATCGGTCTGGGGTGTGGTCACTGTTGTACTGCAATCTGTAGTGAGGGAAAAAATACAATGGCAAACAGACTCTTGTGTGGTTTGGGTTTTTTTTTCCCCAATGACTCCACAGTTAAGCTTGCGTAAGGATAATACATCAAAATAGTTTAAAATTCATATGTGTCCTCAAGATGACTTGTGAAGTGCTATTCATATTTGTGGTCTGGGATGGTACAGAGGGGAGTTATAGGTTCCCTTCATAAAAGAACTGATAAATCAGGTTTAAATGTCCCCGTGTGCTAGCAGCTGTGCCTCAAACTGTGTTACCGAAGTGTAATAGGGTCATGCTATCCGAATTTGGTATAATATGATAGTAGTTTTCTCTGAATTTCACACAGAGCTGTAATTCTTTCTCATTGGATTCAGTGGCATTTCAGGTGTGCATACGCTTGTGGTTTTTTGCAGGACCTTCACAAAACACAAGTTCAGTCTAGATTGTTCTTATGCTTGGCTGGAGTCAGAGCTTTGTAAACATTAGTGGAGACCAGAATTTATTAAGGATTTACACTCATATTCTTAATAAAAGAACACTTTGAATGATGAATTATGTATTGTATAAATTCTTCTTAATATTTTTCCTTATGACTAAACTGAAACATACACTGGAGCATAAATTTCATTGTGACTGAAAGGTGGCACTGGAATAAATTTGGTCCATAATACCAGAAGATGAGAGAAACTTGTATGACGGAATATGTATGCCAGAAGATAAGGAAATGAAAACAAAGTAATAAACAGTAAGGAAAAGACATTTAATCAGTTGGAAGCATTTTTCATTCAGGACATACTCGTTGGCAAATAATTTCATGCACAAAGGATGTCTGTGGTCCTCAGGCCATCCGAGATGCAGTATAAAAGCTAACTCAACCCAAGGTCCTTCCTACCACTTCTCTTACATTTTTCCTCTTTTGTGAACAAGGTTAGTTCAAATCTACTTCTCTTTTTCTATTTGCCGAATTCTTGCCTTCATAACAATTTGATTGCTGTTCTTTTTTCTCCACAGTATTCTGTTAGTTGCTGGATTGGTTGGGGGGAAGACTTTGTCTTTTTAAAATGTTGGGTTTTTGCAGTTAGAATTGCAGGTATTTCTGGAGTCCTGACTTGGCCGTATAGATCCTTGAAATAGTGATAAGTTTATTCAAACATGGGCTTTCAGACATGCTAAGTGACTCAGCAAATAATAATAATAATAATAATAATAATAAAAGATTAATGAACTGAATGGGCAGAATACCTGTGCAAGGGGGTTGGAACTAGATGATCTTTAAAGGTCCCTTCCAACTCAAACCATTCTATGATTAGAGAGATCTATGCGCTCAGTCATCTTTCAAGTAGCAATGTGCATTTTATGTCTTTAAGGGTCTTATCCATCATCTGTAATGCCTGAAATTTCAACTGGGTTGATATGAAAACAACAGTGTTTGTAAGGGACGTGGATGCATTTATCTTCAGAAATGTCATCCAGAAAAATCCTTTTCTTTGCTGTTTAGTCCATGGGAGGCTTCTTCAGTGTTCCCATTTTTGTTATGATTAATCTATTACTGGGCACAGTGGGAAACAAGTGGGTAAAATGAACCAGATTCTAAAAGAAACAGCTGGAGAGCAAGGAAACGAGGAAGGTTTAAAGCAGAAGTTTGTGGGTTTTAAAAATCAATTATGTCAAACCACAAGCTTTTGAGCTCTAAATACCACTTTCTAAATGAAGACAAAATGAAGCCGTATACTGAGATTAGAAGGAATAGTCATCCTGAGTTCAGCAAGGATATTGGCTCTAATCACGCATCCTCGATCTTCTTCTGCTATAGTGATCAACATGGACTTCAATATGATAGACATCATCAAAAAGTTCTGCTTGGTGTCTTACAGTTGCCAAGTTTTGAAATTATCTTATAGGGTGCAATGACATCTCTTGCAAGTTTAGAGAAATGGTTTCAGGGACTGTGAGGTCAAGGGGAAAGAACAGTAAAAATAGAGGAGAGCTGAGCACCCAACAAACTGAGATGGGCACAGCAAACAGCAAACTTTGTGTTTATTAGGGTGTTGGAACCAGATATGGAGTATGTGGGAAACTCCTGGCTTTTTCATGGATGGCACGTTTGTGGACAAGTTGTCTGGGAAAGATTTCCAAAGACCTCAGCTTCAAGTATGCTTAACTACATTGAAAATTGTACCTCTTCATAGGCAAATTTGGAACCTGGAAAATAATTCCTCATTTCATTTTCCAGCTGTCTGTCGAACTCTATCCATAAGTACATTTGTGGCTAGGTATTACTCATAATTACTACTTCTACAATGCTCTGAATACCTGGGGCTGGATCTCAGTAGTGTCACTCCAGACATACAGCCAATCAAAATACTAAAATTAAAGTAATGATACAGGTATGTGTCCTTTTGTTCTGCTGCCAGCTATTCCACTGGATCACCAACAACTGAGAGAGGATTATTTCAGCCTCCGTCTTGTAGCATATTTAAGAATTTGGTTTCCTTCTCAACTCACTCCCCTCTCAACTCCTAAAAGGATCGCTGGAAAGCTCCTGTTGTCCTGGTACCTGACCTAAGCAAATGTAAGTGCAATACAACTCCTACATTGCATTCACTTCTGGTCCTGTATTTCAGACTCACCTCCATCCCACAGACATGTCCTGCTATGAGCGGTGTCCTTCCACCTCCTGCAGCCCAACCCCACTGGCGAATAGCTGCAATGAGCCCTGCGTCAGGCAATGCCAGGACTCGACAGTGGTGATCCAGCCTTCTCCGGTGGTGGTGACCCTGCCCGGACCCATCCTCAGCTCCTTCCCCCAGAACACCACTGTGGGATCCTCAGCATCTGCAGCCGTTGGGAGCGCTCTCAGTGCCGAGGGAGTGCCCATCTCCTCTGGCAGCTCCTCAGGATTTGGGAGCTTTGGCTATCCAGAATTTGGAGGCTTGGGCTATCCAGGCCTGGGCAGTGGGTACAGCCGGCCCTACCGTCGCTACAACACCTACCGCAGTGGCTTGTATGGGCCGTGCTAAAGCGTGAGGAGCAAGCAGGAAGAAATGACCAGGAATGCTGAAGCACGACCCGACGCAGGACTGAGCTCATGGCCATGGTTTTCAGAAGCGATGTTAGATACCCACAACTCCAACTGAAGTTAACGGAGTTGTGGGAGTTAGTCATTCCCTAAAATGAGGCCCCTACTCTTGTTATACTACTTTATATTTCTAATCAAGTATGTAGTTCTGCTGTGCATCACTGTATTTGATACTGCCTGGTGTAAAACATAATTTAGACAGTAGATGTGACTTGATTGTCAAGGTGCAATGCTACACTGAAAGAAGAGCTCTGTCTGTGGAATACATCACCACGAGATGTGCCGTTCTTCCCATATTGAAACCTGTTGCTTTGCAGTATTTTAATCCGCTCTTTGGTATTATTAAAGTTATGCTTTTACCGTATCTCCAGTCTTCTGTTATTTTTTCCTTCCCCTTCTGTCTTCTTTTGAAACTTTTTCTGGGTGAAATTCATCACTGCGTAGATCATCACTACCAGGCAGAGACATGATATGAATACTACTGGGGCCACTAATAAGAGGAGAAGAACATATGTTTAGAGCTCAAGATCAAGAAAATATCTAATTTTGCAGCTGTAATGCATATTGTTTCCACGCTGACTCATCATAATACTTGGCTTTCTGCATCTCTGCCAAGAAATTATTCTCAAGGCTGGAAGCGTTTTATGATCTAACAGAATGGCAGGGTATCTAATCTAGCATATAATGATATTTGTTTTAAGGAATCCTTTTGTGATTCACACTCTTAGTAACTCTGACCTGGAGCTGCAGGGTGCAAAGAAAGATTTACATTCTTTTACCATCAAATCACTGCTTGAATGCTTGGATTTGTGAAGTAAAACATGAACGGCAGCAGAAGTCTCAAAGGAGGTATACACATAGCTTTTTGTGACAGAGAGCAAAACTCTTTGATCTATTTTCTTGCTATTTACTGCATAAGTACTGTGTATTTTAGGGCTCCTTATAGAAGCCTGGCTGTCTTTACTGTCCTGGCTGCAGCCCTACAGAATTCTAACAAAAAGCTCACGTCAAGGAATGAAGCATGCTAACATAAAATAAATATAGAACACTTGTAGGCATTAAACCCTTTAGAATCCTCACCAGTAAATTGTTTTTGCTAAAAGAAGGACCTGAGATTCAAACCAGATTTGCAACAGCCACTGAAGCTACTAAAACAATAGATTTGGGGGAAAAAATGAAGAGATTCTCATGTTGGGAAGATTTGAGGCATTCAAATAATTCCAGTTGTATAAATTCTGTTGTAGCTGGTTAAATTGTTACCAATAGTTAAATTGTTCCCAGTAGTTAGGTTGCTTATGGTTTATGTACCAGTCTAGTCTTATCCTGGCATCAGATGAAAAGCCCTCCTCAAAGCTTCTTTCATCTCAAAGACCTGTGGATCATTTGAATGCCTTGTACTATTACACTCAAGCCTCTGAAGTCAACATAAAGATGATACAAATTTCAATTCATGTAAGTAATTTGTCAGCTCTTTGGCAATTTGGTAGTTCACCAGCCTGTCATGGGAGCACTCTGTTGTTACACAGAGGGTTTTTATTGAGTGTGTGGAATGTGAAACTCCATTACTGATCCATAAGTGAGAGCTGTTATGTCCTGGTTCACCAGCCTTAATCCCAAAAAACAAGATCCAAAGGCTCTCAACCTTTTGGGTGAACTCTAGGTGCTAATTAGACTCAACTGGCAGAATATCAATGAAAACATTTCCAGGCTGTTAATGAGTCTGTTCTAAAATATTATATACCCTCCAAGAAAAACTGTTTATGTCCCTAGAAGGAAGAATGAGGAAAAGTTAGCATTCCTTGGCTATCTCATTTTACAGATGAAAGGGAAAGGAATTCTCCAGGTGAATGATAGCTTTCACCTACAATAAGGAAATAATTTTTAAAAATATATAAAAAGATAACTGGTAGTATGTTGGATAGTAGAGATTTTGAGGAAAGGGAAGAAAAAGACTCTCTCCTTTTATAGAAAAGGAGAGGAGAATTTTCTTGTGGCATCATCAAAATATGCAGTTACAGGATTTTACAGAAGACAGAGAGTTAAAGAGTTAAATCAATTATGAAAATTTTTAATAAAATAATTAAAGTTTCTGAAGGTGTTTACCTTGAATTAGTTTGTGAAGTCCTTTGAGTGATCTTGACTCACACACTTTGAAATTAGGTTATTAGCCAGGTGATGCAAGTGTTGAGATCTTGTCATGTACCTTGAACATTAGGTAGCATGAAACTCTGCATATTTGAACCATCAGTGAAAAGCTGTTCTGGACTTTGAAGTCCTTTGTTCTTCTGAAGACCAAGACCAACCTACATATAAAGACACTCTTCATTTAGAGTTCATTCATATCTTTTGCTGAGGGATGGTGGTGCTGAGAGGAGAGACCAGATCTCTGCTTTTTGCATACTTTCCATCTGTGCGAGTATTTCCAGCAGGTTGGAGTACAGCCAGGCAGGCTGCAGAGGTGAAACGAATCCTGTAATGATAAATGTAATGGGGAACTGCTGGGTGTAATTTCTACTAACACCATAGTTTGGCTCAGGCGGAGCGCTGCCTCTAAGAACCGATACTTGAAAGCAACCTTTAACATGGATGCTCATACTCAATTTGATGTGAAAATTGTTGCACATCCCGGTGACTTACTGGGATTTCAGGTAGGAATAATGGTGATTCCTCAGATGAGAGACTGCACAGAAAGTGTGTCGAGAATTAGAAGCAGCTAATAAATATCACAAAGTAATAAGATCAAGTAATCAAGCTCTTTCATTAAAAGTGTGATTATTTGACTTTGGCATAAAAAATGAAGTTATAATTTATGATGGGTTAAAGAAATGCACTCTTATATGTGTTTGTATTAGCTGTATTCATACAAACTGGGAAAACTGTGGGTTAGCCCCAGCAGTTCTGGAACGTGTTTTATTGTCTCTGGTCAGCGATTCTCACCATTCTTCATCTTCTTTAACCTTTGCACTACTCATAGAAATTTGGTGCTCAGCTGTATGTTTGTGTGGGATTGAAATAGTGCAGATGTGCAAAATTTGGGAATACCTATTATACACCTTGTCTTGTGGTAAAGGTGAGTCCTTGAAATGGAAATGCTTGTGAATAGAGCCCAGGCCCCCACCTCAGAGCTAAATGATTATTCACCTAAAGGAGTGAAGTCTTGAATAAGGACTATGCATCACATACACTCCCCTTAAGCAGTGTCTTGATGACTAAAATGAAACATAAAATGTACATTGGCCTTAGGAGGCAACATAATTACTGCTGTAATTCAGACGAGTCACCACAGTCTTCCAAGCAATTAAGCGGGTGCGCACTGGTGAAGATGAAAGCTTTGTCTATACTGGAATGTGAATGTAATAAGGGGAGGGAAAAAAATAGAGCAATACTAAAAGAGATTTTGAAAGGAAAAAAAAAAAGGGGTTGATCAGTTTGGTGGATTTTGCATGCAAAAATACGGATCATTAAATAATTTCATGCATAATATATGTCTCTGGTCTGCAGGCAGTCTGGAACATGGTATAAAAACCCGTACAACACAAAACTCTTCCATCCACTTCTCTTGCCTTATTCGCCCAGGTGAACAGGTAAGTCTGAATCTACCCGGTGTCTTTTTAAATGCTAAACTCTTACTTTGATGACTGCTTTTGTTTTTGTTATTCTTAGTTCTTTATAAATATTGCTAGCTTTTTTCCTTTTGGGAAAGAAAATTAGAAAGGCTTACTTCTATCAAAAAGAAAGGCTTTATTTACTCGTGAAGCAGGGTGTAACGAGGCAGGACTTAGAGGATACTGGCAATGTTGTCTCTCAAAACAAGCAGATTCGTGCTCCATTTTAAAGACCATCGCTAAGGGAGTAGCTAGTCAATGAACCTGGTTAGAAATACAGTCTCATCGTAAGAAACTGGGACTAACAAAAAACAAAAACAAAAACAAAAAAAAATATTGTGCTGAGTTCCAGGATCTATCCCCAAGTCCTGTTTTCCACAGGTAGAAGAGCAGGGATCCCAGCAGGCTCAAATACACTGAACTCAAATCAAGGCAGAAACCTCTGATTGGGAAAATAATCCTCCTTCGCACTCCACGTTTGCCTGTTCTGGTCATACGACGTTTGGGAGCAAAGGGTGCTTTTCAAACACTTTTTTCTATAGTTCTGCAAATGCTCCTGGCTGGGTTATTAGCGACTAAGTTCTAGCATTGAGGCACTAAACCCAGTTATGTGTCAATGTTCAGCTCAGGGCCACTTTCCATGCCTGATGAGAGCTCCAGCTGCCGTTCTCCATCTCCTGGTACAGTCACAATTGCACCTTCTCCAGAGAGACAGTGCAAAGGGAAACTACCGAAGAATGGGAAATGCCTTGGCTGGTAAGGGTTAGGGCAAACTTTACCATGACTGTCACCAGAGTTCAGAGGCCAGCTGCAGAGCAGAGACACCCTCCAGCAGCCTTACAAAAATGAGAGAAACTATGTTATTTTCAGACTGCCTACTGTGGATTTTGATCTAATAAGTGATTACCTCTCTGACCACCTTCTCTAGGTACTTTCACATATGTTATCCTCTTACCCGACTTTTATAAACTTAAGATGGCTTTTATATTGCATTTACTTTCTTCTCTGGATTTCAGACTTCCCTCTGTCCTACAGACATGTCTTGTTATGACCTGTGTCCTCCCATGCCCTGTGGCCCAACCCCACTGGCAAATAGCTGCAACGAGCCCTGCGTCAGGCAGTGCCAGGACTCCACGTATGTGATTCAGCCCCCTCCCGTGGTGGTGACCCTGCCCGGACCCATCCTCAGCTCCTTCCCCCAGAACACCGCTGTGGGATCCTCCACCTCTGCAGCCGTGGGCAGCACCCTCAGCTCCGAGGGAGTGCCCATCTCCTCCGGCAGCTCCTCAGGATTTGGGAGCTTTGGCTAGGGGCGGGGGGCACAGCCGGCCCTACC